GCTGGCAGACTGGAGGGGAGGCAGGGAGCTCTGCCGCTTGTCATTTGCTGGTCTGCTTTGACAGGCCCTACCCAACCTGCTGTGTTCTTACCTCTTACTGGCATGAAGCCCCCAGGCTGTTCCTAGGTTCCAACACCCAGGCAGAGCTGTAGTCTTTTCAGGATGCCTTCTGACTGTGTGCGGGGTTGACTGCCTGTGTGGGATTGACTGTCTGACTGTGTGCAGTGTTGACTGACTGACTGTGTGGGATTGACTGTCTGACTGTGTGCGGGGTTGACTGACTGTGTGCGGGGCTGACTGACTGTGGGGCTGGCTGACTGACTGTGTGGGATTGACTGCCTGTGTGGGATTGACTGTCTGACTGTGTGCAGGGTTGACTGACTGACTGTGTGGGATTGACTGACTGACTGTGTGCAGGGCTGACTGACTGTGTGGGGCTGACTGTCTGACTGTTTGCGGGGCTGGCTGCCTGGCCTGTGTTGGGCTGCTCTGCTTCATGCTCAGGGCTGGCTTCAGAAGGGGTGTGGGTGATGCTGCAGAGGGGCTGTTCTGTGGAGACAGCTGTGTACCCACAGTGCCTGATGACTGACCTTCCGGTGGGAGGAAGGCCTCGGAGGGGCCTGGGCTGGCTTCTACCTCCAGGCAGGGTTAAGAGAGTGAGAGGCTGCAGCCCTTTCTAGCCCTCGCTCTCGGCCTGAGGAGCCTGCACTTTGTTCCCACCAGGGAGGCATTTCTGAGTGAGTTCTGAGACAAATGGGTGTCTTATGGGTGTTGTTTATTTTTGTCGGGAGATTGCGCTGCTCTGGAGAGGCAGAACCCTCCTCTTGTCTCAGGCTGCCCTTAATCCTGCTGGATAAATGCATCACAGGATGGGGCATGGGTGCCTGGGGGGGGGGGGCAGAAGGGGAAGCCACTAAAACCTAGCAGCAGGGGGCATTTGATGATGCTCAGAGGGGTGTTGCCTCTGGCCCAAGAGAAAATTTGACTCTCCTGTATATATTCCCCTTTCCCCAAAAGGTGGAAGGCACACCTTCCAGGCTGGATGTGGACAAGCCTGTCACCTTGTCTTAAAGGCCTAGACTTGGGGACATTATGTTCCCCTCTCTGTTCAAGGGACTTAGGAAAGGGTGTTGACTTGCAAGTGGGGAAGCTGGTATCCTCAGTGGCTGACGTAAAGCTTGGCAGCTAGGACTGTTTTTGTGTGCTGCAAGTTCACTTACATGCAGCAGGTGCCAAATAAAGGCAGCATGGTAGAATAGTCAGAGGGGACCCCGTAGAGCTTGCCCCCCCCCCCCCCCCCCCCCCCCCCCCCCCCCCCCCCCCCCCCCCCCCCCCCCCCCCCCCCCCCCCCCCACCCCCCCCCCTGGCCCCGCTGTGGTTTTTTTTTTTTTTTTTTTTTTTTTTCTTTCTTAGCAGGTGGCTTTCCATGCTGGGCTTGGGATTCGTGTCAAAAGACGCATTTGGGGAACACTAAATAGTGAGCACGCTCTGCGCTCTGCCGTTTACTCAAGGTGGGATCTGGTCTAGATGCAGAGGTGCCTGTCTGCAGGGTGGCCCTGGGGGCAGACTTTTCTGGAGGTCAGGGAAGAGTAGCGGGAAGGACCTGGCCTCTGACAGACTGGAGACACAGCCCCATTGGCGGAGGCTTTGCCTAGAATGCAGAGCCCCAACACTGCACACATCCCAAATGCTTGGTCTCCTAGCGCTCTCAGATGGAGACAGGAAGATGAGAAGTTCAAGGACATCATTGTCCACATAGTGAGTTTGAGGCTAGCCTGGGCTGTATAAGATCCTGACTCAAAAGAACAAAAAACAAAAAATTAAAAACTAAAAATCAGGCACAGATGTGTGCACACTATCAAGATGGCTCAAGGGTTAAGAGCTCTGATGTTTTGCCTTCCTTCCTTCCTTCCTTCCTTCCTTCCTTCCTTCCTTCCTTCCTTCCTTCCTTCCTTCCTTCCTTTCTTTCTTTCTTTCTTTCTTTCTTTCTTTCTTTCTTTCTTTCTTTCTTAAATACGGTTTCTCTGTGACCCTGGTTGTCCTAGAACTCACTTGCAGTCCACGTTGGCCTCCTGAGTGCTGGGAATAAGGGTGTGTTTTAACACTGGACCTGAGTTTGGTTCTCACCTCCCACTTTGGGTAGTTCACAACCACCTGTAAGTCTAGCTCCAAGAGATCGGGTGTCTTCTGGTCTCTGCAGGCACCTCTGCACATGTGGCGCATACATCACACACGCATTCACACACACACACACACAGGTGTATACACAAATATAAAATGAAATCCTAAAAACTGGTCAGAGTGTGGATTTTAGAGACCTTGGATCCTGCAGACGGGCCTGGTCTCTCTGTTGGGAGAGACAGCTCTGTCTACAGATGGCTCTTTTTGTTTGCTTTATTTTGTTCATTTCTTAAATCTGTTTTATTTTATATGTATAAATGTTTTGTCTGCATGTGTGTGTGCACTATGTGAGTTAGATTCCCCCAGAACTGGAGTTATGGACAGTTGTGAGCCAGCATGTGGGTGCTGGAAATTGAACCTAGGTCCCCTGCAAGAGCAGCAAAGTGCTCTTAAACAAAGAGCCATCTCTCCATATCCCTGTGTTTGTGTTTTCACAGATAGCTCTTAGCCCAGGCAGAGATGGGGAATGTTCTGGGCTCTCCGCTGAGATGCTCTGCAAGTCTGCTGGGCTGCGTTACCTTCCAGCTCAGGGCTGAATGCTGCTGACTTTTCTTAGGAAGGGTCAGGCCCATCTGGCCTGAGGTGTGTGTGCCATTTTTCCAGGCCTGGGTGTGAAGTCTGCTGCCTGCCACTGGGGTACGTGTGCCTGCTGGAAGGGGCTGGTGGGAAGAGGAGAGTCCCCAGTTCTAGAAGAGCTGAAAGTAGGGCAGGATGAGCAGAGCCTCTGAACATGTGAAGTCCAGCCTGGACTGCAGACAGCATTGGAGCCCATGGTTGGGTCTACTATAGTATGCACTGAGTTTGGTTGTGGGCTGTCTTTTAATTTTTTTTAGTGGTAATTATTTATTTATTGGTAGGTTGATTTATTATGTGGAGGTCACAAGGTAACTTTTGGGAGTTGGTTCTACCTTCCACCCTGCTTGTTTCAAGGACCCCACTGAGATTGTCGGGTGTGGCGGCAGGTGCCTTTTCCTGCTGGCCCTGCTCTGGGCTCTCTGTAGTCTTTGAAGGGAAGACTTTGGTCAGTTGACCGATTGTTTCCTGGGATCACCTGAAGTCTTTCCCAGGGGGTTCCCACTTGCCGGGAACATACAAGAATATTCCTGTTTGTGAGTGTGTCCATGTGTCACACCAGGTGTACGTGTGTCGCGGCATATATGCAGATTCAGTTTGATAATTTAGGTGTACGATATTTTAAAAATGAAAGGAGCCAGCCTGGGAATTTAGCTCAGTCGGCAAAGTGCCTGCCAGTGTACACAAAACTCTTAAGTTTAACCCCAGCAAAGTACAAAGGAGGTGTGGTAATGTGTGCCTGTAATCTCAGCAGTTCAGGGGTAGAGGATTAGAAATTCAAGGTTATCCTTTGCTACAATAGAAAGTTCCAGCCACCCTGAACTACATGAGACCCTGCCTCAGGAAGAGGGAAAAAAGTGGAACCACTCTTTAGGTTACTGAAGATGATGATGCTGAGATGGGACTTTCATTCATGGTGCCTTCTCTTCTAGGACAGAAGTCACAGTGTGCGCTGTCCCAGAGTAGGACTTTAATTTTTTCTATACAGCTTGTCGATATAAAACCTTCCAGGAATATAATGTCATCCTTACAGCAGAGACCATCACAGTTACTCTCTTTCCCTGACCACTGAGATGCTGAATAAATATTTGAGTCAGTCATGTATAACAACCAGCGCCCTCTTCTGGCCTCCTAAGGTACCTGCACCCATGTGTGCGTACTCACCCACAGACACATTTAAAAAAAAGAAAAGCTAAAAAGAAGAGTTTTTTAATTTGATGATACTATTGATGGAACCTAGGGCCTCATGTATGCTTAGTGGGTATGCTACCCCTGGGCTCTAGGCTCAGCTCCCCAGATAGTACTTTGATAGTGGCTTTTGTTTTGTTTTGTTTTTTGTTTTTGTTTTCAAGACAGGGTTTCTCAGTGTGTAGCCCTGGCTGTTCTAGAACTCCCTCTGTAAGCCAGGCTGGCCTCAAACTCAGAGACCCTCCTGCCTCTGCCTTCCAAATGCTGGATTAAAAGTGTGCAGTACCACTGCCTGGCTGATAGTTGCTTTTAAAAATAAAGGCCCAGTGGGGCTAGAAGTGGCTCAGCAAATATTGCTGCTCTTACAGAAGTTCCATCTTCCACGGAGACGCAACTATTGGTAGCTCCACTTCTAAGGAGTTCCAGATAGTTACTGACTTTCCCCCTTTTGGCCTCCTCAGGCACCAGGCATGAGTGTTGTGCATTTACATACATGCAGGTAAATGCATAAAATAAAAATGAATAAACTTTTAAAAGCCAAAGTCACACTGGAGGGCAATAAATGTTTAAAGCCTTGCTTGGTGTGACAGCACATTCCTGTAATCCCAGAGGCTGGGGGTTTGGGAGTTCAAGGTCATCCAGGGCTACTTAGTTTCCTGAGGCCGTGAGAAAAATACTCTGACCAAAGCTACTTGTGGCAGTTTGTCCTGGCTCAGTGTTCAAGGGTGCTGTACACGGGGCAGGAGATGCCATATGCAGGGGTGTGTGTGTGTGTGTGCGTGTGTGTGCGTGCCATGTGCGGGGCTGGAGGCCAAGGCAGCAGGGTCTTGGCAACAGGTCACAGCCAGGAAGCAAGCAGGGAGCTGCTGAGTGCTGTTCTCTGCTCCATTCCTCGGTTTAGACAGCTCGGGAGCTCAGTCTTGGGAATGGTGCAGTGAGGTCGGTTTCCTAGGTGATGCTAGATTCTGGAAAGCCTGACAATATCAAGGATCATAGTGAGATAGTGAGTTCCGGGGTAACCTATGCTATATGAGATTTTTGCCAAAAAAAAAAAAATTCTTCCCATTTACTTGCTGCTCTAGTCTCTCAGTGGCAGGAGCAGTTATACGCATGGGATGAAATAATATCGGGCAATTGTAAATTGCGATGAGGTGTATTTTCTCTCTTCTGCATGGTCTAGACATTGTTCTTGGTGCCTTATATTTAAATGTGAGCAGGATCTAGTCAAGGGTGTTTGCAGTTAATACTGTTTTCATTAATTAAAACAATACTAATGAAAATAATTGCCGGATGTTGCTGGTGCCCATCTTCAATCCCAGTACTCCAGGAGACAGGCGGATCTCTGGGTTTGAGGCCAGCCTGGTCTACAGAGTGAGTTCCAAGAAAGATAGGACCTCAAAAAACAAACAAAAAAAATCTTTTTTTTAACAGTTTAAAAAAATTATATTTAGTTGTTTCATGTATGTGTGTGTGGGTGTGTAGTGGGTGCAGAGGTCAAAGAACAATTTCCTGGGGGAACTCAGCCCTGTGGATCCCAAGGACTGAACTCAGGTAGCCAGGCTTGGTAGGGAAAGGCTAAAGAGCCACCGAGCCATCCCGGGGGCCCTGGATTCCCTTTTGTAGCATGTGATTGGGTTTCTTTTCATGTGAGGAGTTACCTAGCTTGTCATACTGTAAAAGTGGTCCCCGAATGTGAAGATGATGTGAAAAGCTGGCCTGGAGGAGGCACGTGAACGTCATTGATACTAGTCGAGAGAATGAAATCAGAGCCCTGTGTGTGGAATACATTGATCGCTGTGGGGAACCCTGGTTCCCCTCTGCGCAGTCACCGGCCGAAACAGCCGGTGTTTGTAAGAAGATATGCCGTATTGGCGAGAGTTCAGCGGTTCAGCAATGTTGCTGGCTCCTGGGAACGTGTCTTTCAAAGTTCATTCATCGTCAAATATTGACTGACGCTCCCTGTGCTCTGGTCTGTGCTTAGGCCTGGGGCTGCTAAAGTCAGGTCGATCACTAAGTTCCTGCAGTTCTGGCCTCGGAGGAAAGGTGAGACGGCTCACGTCACACCCACACCCGGCAGGGAAAGATGCCCGGGACTTTTAGAGCTGGGTGGTTTTTATTGGTTGTTTAATTATATCAAATAACTTTTACTGGTGGTAAACTAATTTCCATAATTACCAATGCATTCATTCATATTGGTGCTTCTTTTATTGTGGCAGAAGATGGCTGTGCCTCCCACATATGCTGATCTTGGCAAGTCTGCCAGGGATGTCTTCACCAAGGGCTATGGTGAGTGTTGGTTGGAGGGAGGGAGTCGGGAGGGATGAAGTAATGGAGGGCCTTTTACCTACAAACTGTGTTTGAGACACTTGGTGGTCAGTTCCCAGCTGTGCAGTCAAAAGGATGAGCTTCCTGCGGCTGTGCGCCACCCAGTGGCGAGGCTCAGGCATTGCAGGACAAGTAGCTGACGCTGCGTCTGCCCCAGTAGAAGAATGACATTCTAAATTTAGCCTGCCGGGCCTACCAGCCCTGATGACTGTGTCTCTGCCAGCTGCTGGGAATCTCCCCCACTCCCTTCTCCCCGGCCCTTCATGGGCACAGGTGGGGCCTGCGTTCTCAGTGTGCCCCTGTTGCATGGGCTTCCCATAAGCAGCAGCAGGCGTCAGGTGCCCCCAGCGCTTAGGGCTGTAGTGAGTTTCTGTAAGCATCTCCAGTTGGCCAGGAGGAAGGCAGAGGTGTCCTAGCTTCAAGTTTTTATTTTTCTAGTGCTGGGGATTCAACCTAGGGCCTTGAGCTTGCTAGCAATCATTCTACCACTGAGCTGCAGCTCCAACCCCTCTGGCTTGGTTAGTTAACCTGTTTATGGTTGTTTTTTCTTTTTTCTTTTTTAGGCTTTGGCTTAATAAAACTTGATTTGAAAACGAAGTCGGAGAATGGATTGGTAAGTTGTTCCGCTTGCACGGGACAGTATATTTGTTTCTGGCCAGTAGGGGGTGCTGTGTCCAGACTGGCTGAGCCGGAAGCAGTTGCCTATTTGGATTGCGCCCTTTGTGCATGTGCGGCATCTTATCTGTGTGATAGGTGGTCTGGGACTGTAGTAGCTGCTGATATTCATAGGAAAATGAGAGTGGCCTCTGGTAAAGTGCCCTTATGTTTGTTGCCCTTTTATAAGTTATTTTGTGGTGTTGGAAGGAAATCAAACTCTGGCCCTAACACACTGTACGTATATGCTCTACCATTGACCTAAACCTCTAGTCTGATTACTCCTTGATGTTTCTTACTTTAAAATTGGCCTTTCTTTTTCTCTTCTCTCTCTCTTTTTTTAAAATAATTTATTTAACTTTATTTTATGTGCATTGGTATGAAGGTGTTAGATCCCCTAGAACTGGAGTTACAGTTGTGAGTTGCCATGTGGGTGCTGGGAACTGAAGCTGGGTCCTCTGGAAGAGCAGCCAGTGTCTTAACCACTGAGCCATCTCTCCTTCCTTCCTTCCTTCCTTCCTTCCTTCCTTCCTTCCTTCCTTCCTCTCTCTTTTTTCTGGCTCTTTCTCCCTCCCCTCCTTCCTTTCTTCTTCTTCTTCTTCTTCTTCTTCTTCTTCTTCTTCTTCTTCTTCTTCTTCTTCTTCTTCTTCTTCTCTTCTCCTTCTTCTTCTTCTTTTTTTTTTTTTTTTTTTAAGTTTTTTGAGACAGAGTTTCTCTGTAGTTCTGGATGTCCTGGAACTCATTCTGTGGACCATGGACCAGGCTGTCCTGGGACTAAAGGCGTGTGCCACCACTGCTCAGCTGCTTTTTTCTTTTTAAAGAGTTATTTGTGTGTGTGTGTGTGTGCATATGTGTGCGTGTGTTTGTGCCTGCATGAGTTTGTATGTACCATATGTATGAAGGAACCTGGGGAGGCCAAAAGAGGGTATTGCATCCCCTGGAACTGGGGTTACTTTTATAGGTCACTGTCAACTGCATTGTGGGTGCTGGGATTAAAACCCACATCTTCTACAAGAGCAGTAAGTGCTCTTTACTGCTGAGCTGTCTTCAGTTCTGTTGATGTGTGTTTTTATTTATTTATTTCATTTTGGTTTAGTTTTGTTTTTATTTTTATTTATTTATTTTTTTTTATTTTCGAGACAGGGTTTCTCCATAGCTTTTTGGTTCCTGTCCTGGAACTAGCTTTTGTAGACCAGGCTGGCCTCGAACTCACAGAGATCTGCCTGCCTCTGCCTCCCGAGTACTGGGATTAAAGGCGCGCCAGCTGTTGAAATAGGAGCGGCGGGGCTGCGTCCCCAGCACCCCAGCCGCCTGCTAGCTCATGCCCGAAATAACAACACACAAATTGTATTCATTTAAAGACTGCTTGGCCCATTTCTATCTAGCCTCTTCTAGGCTAATTCTCGCACCTGGACTAGCCCATTTCTAATAATGTAAGCACCCCAAGGTGCGCTTACCGGGAAGATTCTAGCCTACGTCCATCCTGGGTCGGAGCTGCCTGGGAGAGCGGAGCCTGGCGTCTCTGCTCCAGAGAGCAGAGCTGTTGGGTCTGACCTCACTTCCTCTTCCTCCCAGAATTCTATTTTGTTTACTCCTCCCACCTATGTTCTAACCAATAAAATGTGCCAAGCCAGTTTCTTTATTAGCCAATGACCTTCCTCCATCATTTCCCCTTTTTCTGTTTAAACAAAAAAAAAAAAGGAAGGCTTTAACTTAACATAGCTAGTTTTGTTTTTTGAGACATGACCTTGGATGACCTAGAACTCATTGTGTAGACCTGATTAAAGGCATGTTCTACCTATATTTTTGTCTGTGTGTGTGGGGCGTTTGAGACAGGGTTTCTTTGTGTAACGGTCCTGGCTGTTCTGAAACTCGATTTGTAGACCAGGCTGGCCTTGAACTCACCGAGATCCGCCTGCCTCTGCCTCCCAAGTGCTGGGATTAAAGATGTGTGCCACCTATGGTTTTAATGTTTCATTATTATTTAGAGAACATTCTTGTTTTTAGACTGTTGGAAGGAAGAGTGTGGGTTTAGAATTCTGCTGTGTCAGCTTTCGCTCAGTGACTCTATCTGTCTGAGGCTGGAGGCAGCTGGAGGCTGGATGGCTTCTTATGCAGACTTTAAGGGCCGTAGAGGAAGAAGGAAGCTGTCTTCCAAAGAACTCCCCAGAAGCTTCCTTTTGGTAGCAGGATCTTCCAGTCCTTTGTATTTTCAGTATCTAACTGAACTGTAGAAATAGCTCTAGTTGGATATGCTGGGGACTCTCTATTGCATAAGGTCCTGGGAGGCACTGAGGGCAGGCTGGACTGTGGGCTGAGACTCTCTTTCCTTTAAGGAATTTACCAGCTCAGGCTCCGCCAACACAGAGACCACCAAAGTGAACGGCAGTCTGGAAACCAAGTATCGATGGACTGAGTATGGCCTGACGTTTACAGAAAAGTGGAACACAGACAACACCCTGGGTACCGAGATCACCGTGGAAGACCAGGTAAGGCCTCCCCGCCAGAAGTGCTGGCTCCATCCATTCCCATCCTTGCTCCACCCATTCTCATCACAGCGCCCTCAGCTAACCTGTACCACCTCTCTCTTCCGTGCAGCTCGCGCGTGGGCTGAAGCTGACCTTCGACTCATCCTTCTCACCTAATACTGGGTAAGGGTCTGGCCTTTGTCCTACAAGGACATTTTAGGATGTTGTGGGCCTTGGAAGTCCTTCATGACAAAGGATTTTGGTGTTAAGGGTGACATCACGTTAAAGGTAGCCTCTAAACTAGGAGACTGGGGGGTGGGGAGGGGTCAGGGCCAGCCAGGGCTATAGTGAGATTCCATATCAAAGAACAGAAACTAATGAGACAACAGTAAGGCTGCTGTGGTCTGAGCTCTGTATATTCTGTGAGTTCTGTGGTGGTGTTTTGGCCAGGACACAGATACCCATCTGTTAATGGGCTCTGCTATAGCAAGCATTAGAAAATACATTTATCTAACACATGGTTTTGTGTGTTCCTCTGCATATTTGGGGACCGAGGTTGCCTGGGTCAGGGTGCTGTTTGCCCCAAGGAGCTTCCCTTTTCCTTTTGACACTGGGTCTTCTGTAGCCCAAGCTGGCCTTGAACTTATTAAGTAAGTAGGGACAACCTTGAACTTCTGATCCTCCTGCTTCCACCTCCCAAGTACTGGGATCACGGGTGTGTGATCCAGTTTCTGGGGGT